CTGACACCCAGGGCAGGGTCTCAGGAGCAGCAGAGCCTGCCTCTTACCTCCCCCACCTGCAGGAAGCCCCTGCTGGTCCAGGCTGAGAACTTCACCCTGTTCATCAAAAACACTGTCACCTTCAGCAAGTTCAACTTCTCCAAGTGAGCACGGTGGGTCCTGGCTGGCCCAGATCCTCCTTGTCCCCTCCTGGCCTGATCCCCAGCTTCACCTCCGCTCAGGTCCAATGCCTTGGAGACGTGGGATGCCACCTATTTCAAGCGCTGCCGCTACGACCCACGCTTCAGCCCCTACTGCCCTGTGTTCCGCATCGGGGACCTCGTGGCCATGGCTGGAGGGGTCTTTGAGGACCTGGCATTGCTGGTGGGTCCGTGGGGGCAGGATTGCGGGAGGCCATGGGGAGAGGGTCCCAGGCCCGCGTGCTGGTGGAGCAGTGATGCGCTGTGTGCAGGGCGGTGCTGTGGGCATCCACGTCCACTGGGATTGTGACCTGGACGCCGTGGGCTCTGACTGCCGGCCCCACTACTCCTTCCAGCTGCAGGAGAGGAGCTACAACTTCAGGTGCGGCCCCACTGCCCGCCCGCTGCTCCTCAGCCAGGTCCTCCCCGACCTGTCCTCCTCTGGTGCCCGGGACAGACCACAGCCTGGCCCATCTCTCTGGACGCTCTGCTGTGTGTGAGGGGGTCCCAGGGCAGGAAGGGTCTCAGCTCCAGGTCCCCCAGCACAGGCTCCGTCCAGCCTCCCTCCTGAGCCCTTTGGCCTCCACCCCGTCTATCCCCACACCCTGCTGCAGCTGGGACCCCTCACCCCAGCCCCTCCTCCACTCCACCCTGCCTCCAGCACCTCCCTCCACGGCACAGGGGCTTTCTTGTTACTTTTCCCTTAAGGTTTTATCTAAAAAAGTACAAGAATCTATAGAAAATTTCAAGGATCAGTACCATGAAAACCCATAGAGACTTCATCTGGGTTCACCAGGTTTTTTTTTTTTTTTTTTTTTTACCATTTTGCCCCATTTGTTTTCTCTCTGCCTCTCTAGAGTGAGCTGGATATATTTAGATAGATTTCAAAGGAAACCATTTGAAAGTAATTGGCAGATATCTAGACACTCACCCCTTTCAATGCTGTCTTGAGACTGAGGACCTTCCCCAGGTGACCACTGTCCTCTTGTCACACTCAGGAAATTTAACATTGGCAGATAGATCTAATAATATATAAATTTCCCCAGCTGTGCCAATAATAGTTCTAAATCTTTTTATTTTCTGACCCAAGATGCACTCAAGGCTCTTGCCTTGCATGTATTGTCATGTCTTTGAGGTTCCTAAGCAGAACCCCCATCCTTCTGCCCCCTCATGTCACCTCCTCATCCTCATGCAGACATGCACACAGCCACCAGGCCTACAGGTGCCCGCTGGGCCCTGCCTGGCCTGGCTTCGCTGGTCCCCCAGCCCTTTGCAATCACATGGGGCTAGAGCCGCCCACGCCCTGCTCCCCTCCCCTCTGCGCTCTCCCCACCCTCCATCTCTGCCTGGAGCTCCTTCCTGAGCCCTGGGAATCCAGCCTGAGGGGCTCCCGGCAGGAAGTCTTCCCTGGTTCCCAGGGGAGAGTGAGTGCCCCTCTCTGGACCCCACAGCCCCGGGCCTGCCCCACCTCCCCCACCCCGACTGCCCATGTCTCTTTAGGGACCCTTCTGTCCCCATCCCCTCAGCAGGCAGGGAGCTTATGAAAGGCAGGTCCCAGCTTGCTTGTCCCCTGTGTTCTCAGCAGTGACACAGGGCTGAGACCTAGGACTCAGGCTGGGGTGGATGGAGTCAGTGGATGAGTAAGATGAGGGCTGTGAGGGCCAGCCCCCCCAGGAGTGGGCAGAGCAGCCACTGGACTCTCTCCTGCCCCAGGACAGCCACTCACTGGAGGGAGGCCTCAGGCTTGGAGGCCCGGAGTCTGCTCAAACTCTACGGGATCCGCTTCGACATCCTCGTCACTGGGCGGGTAGGGGCCAGGCCTGGGCTGGTGGGGTGGGCAGGGGTGAGGAGCAGGAGGGGACAACAGCCACAGGCAGGGAGGCTCAGCCCAGGTCTCTCTCAGGCAGGGAAGTTCGGGCTCATCCCCACAACCATCACTCTGGGCACTGGAGCGGCCTGGCTGGGTGTGGTGAGTCTGACTTCGTGGCTCCCTCGGGCTGCCAGCAAGCACGTGCCCCCCAAGGGCCCCCCCGAGCCCCCTGTGCTGACATCCAGTGTCAGGGTGAGGGCTGGGGAGGCAGTGGAACGGCAGGTTTGGCCAGGCCATGGATCTGCCCTGCCTCTCCCAGATCACCTTCTGCTGTGACCTGCTGCTGTTGTACGTGGATGGAGAAGCCCATTTCTACTGGAGCACCAAGTATGAAGAGGTGAGCTTCCAGTCTGCCTGGACCCTCGGCTACACTTTGGAGGATGGTGGCTGGAGCCCCGCCCTGCTGTCCTCATCTGCAGGCCAAGGCCCCGAAGAGGACTGCCAACCCTGAGCAGACAGGTGGCTTCCCCACCCCCACATCCAGCTGCCCAGGTGCCTTAGAGGGGGCCAGGCACCTGCCCCCACTGCTGCTGCTGGGAGCTGGACGCTGTCAGCAGGGTGGCCCTGACACCCACTCGCTGGCCCATTCCTGAGGCCTGTAGCCTTTCTCTGCTGGTTGGGAGTTGGGGGGTGGGAAGGGTGGAGGCCCTGCCTTGGGGATTTGGATGAAGCTCTAGCAGGACCAGGGCAGGGGTGGGGGGAGAATTCCACCCTTCAGCTCCCAGGCAGCCTGTCCGTCCCCAACTCCAGCCTCGGCAGGTGCTGCCTGGGGATGACAGAAGCCAGTTTTGTGCAGAGACTGCAGGGAACAGACGCAGGGCCCTGGCCCAGTGGGGCTCCGCCTGGGGCTGGGGCTGGAGACGTTCTACCAGGCTCCGTCTCCAGTGTTCCAAGCAGCTCCCTGCTCTCCAGCTGTCCACCACACTGGCTGTGGTCGCCTCCGGCCCTGCCTGGCTCTCAGCCCTCCTCCCCCTGCCGCAGCCCCCTCACAGGGAGAGCCCCTGCCCTCTCAGCTGCCCCTCACTGGGGTCTGTGCAGCCAGAGTCCAAGGCCAGGGAGAGGCAGCCTGACAAAAGGAGCTGTGGCAGCTGCTGTGCTGGGTTCCTAGGGCAGGGCCCCTCCCAGCACTGGGTCTCATCCATGGAGTGGAGTGTGGTGGGCAGATGCTCCAACCCCCTAGGGCCCCAGGCAAGGGCATAGGACCCCCTTGGGCCCATACCTGCTCAGCTGATGAGCACCAGCCCCATCCTGGTGGCAGCCCTGGGACTGTGGAAGGCTGGGATGGGTGGGGGGGTTGGGGGGGAGGCGCTGAGTTGGTGGGCATGGGGTCCTTTGGGACCTTCTGTCTGTCTCCTTGGTGACACCAGCTCAACGCTCTGGAACCTGCACACCAGGCTTCCTAGGAGCCATGGGGTGGGGAGATTGTATATCTGGACACATATGTCTCAGCTGCCAAAGGTCAAACCCGAAAACGTGTCTGGGCACCTGCCCACCCAGCCAGAGGCACCTATACGAGGACCACGCTCTGACCAAAACCCCAGGGGGAACCCAGGGGCTGGAGAGAATGTCCCTAATAGAGGACATGGAACCCCCAGCAAGCTGGCCTGGTTCAGGCTCTGGAATCCCCCTGGGGGCCTGAGTCCTGCCTGCTGGAGAATTTCCCCGTGTCCTGGCCCCACGGTCAGGAGGGGAGGGATGGGGCTGCAGGAGCCAAGCCCTCTCTGGGTCCCAGGGAGGAGCAGGGTTTGGGGTACCCACCCCCTGGAGACAAGGGGCTGCCTCCTCATGGGTCCCTGGTGAGCAGGGCCGTGCTTGCAGCTTGCTGGTGGAGCGACATGGGACAGGCTGGGAAGGGAGGCCTGGGGCTCAGGCTGGACAGCATCTGGAATCATCTGGCACCTGAAGCCTCAGCAAAGCCTTGGGGTCCCTGCTGCCTCTCACCCCAGGGCAGTGTCCATGCAAGGTGGGTTCAGAAGGGCCGGGGTGAGAGATCATGGCCCTTAGGCCTGGTTATTGGAGTGGGGTCATGTGTCCCTGGTTGTCCTTGGGGCCCAGAGAAAGTGATGTTGAGGCTGCAGAGAGTCGAGGAGTAAAGCTGCCAAAGCCAGCGGCTTCCTGTGTGGTCCTTACAGGCAGAAATGGAGAGGTGGAGGCATCTATGGTAGATGGAGCATGGCCTTGGGGAGACCACGGGGGGTGCAGGGTGGGCCTGGGGACCCCCAAGGATGGGGCCCCACCACCACCAGGTGGGCTGAAGGTCCCTGGAGCAGGCCCAGACACTTGTGCACCCACCTGCCCACGTGTATCCCATCCCGAGCCTTAGTCACAAAGCCCTGAGGGGGCGGCAAGGAGAGAGGCCGCTGGAAGCTGCAGGCAGCCCTGGGCTTGGAAACAGCTGTTGCCTCAGTCTGCACGTGGGTGCACACCCAGCGGACCATGTGGGCCATGTGGGCCTGTGCCTGAGAGATGCGTGTGCCCGGGCAGGGGGCCTCTCCATCCGGGGCAGGCCTCAGGACATGCCCTGCTCTCTGGGAGGCCTGGGAAACTGAGGGAACCCCACAACTCCACCGCCCTTTCTAGGCAGTCTCCTTGGGGTCCAGGCTCTGCTCTCTGTTTCAGTCGCCAAGGGGACATGTGGGGAGCCTGGGAGGGAGCCCGGCCCCAACCTGTCAGGGACCCCTCTGTGCCTGGTGTGTGTTGCTCCCCTCTGAGCTGGGCAGAGGGCACTGGCTTGAGGGCATGACACAGGGACATAGGCCTGGCCATGTCCCTGACTCAGTGCTGTCCTAAGGCTAGCGTGTCCCCCTTCTGGAACCTCGGCATCTTTGCTGTGGATTGAGGACAATCATCTGGTTCCCAGGGGCAGGTGAAGACACATTGACACAAAGAACACCACAGTGGACACAGCAGCAGACCACGTGGTTGGCCGAGCAGCTATTATTGTGGGTCCCTGGGGTTCGGGCTTCTTCCCTGCCCGCCCTACTCCACCTACCCAGGTAGCTGGAGTTAGTCATAAACTGGAAGGCGCTGGGCAGAGTCCACCAAACCAGCGCTGGCCACAGCCCACTCCCAAAGACTCGAAGCTCGGCACCTGGGCTAAGGTCCTGAGGTCCTGAGTACCCCACAGCATGGGCAGGCCTGCAAACCTGAGCTGCCCTGGATAGAGGGGCTGCCAGCCCCTCCGGCCTCCTGAGGAGGTGGGGGAGGGAGGGCAGGACCCCAGCAGTACTCATGGACTGGCGGGCTGCTCTGTGTGGCCGGGCTCCTTGGCTGGTGCCTGGCTGGGGGGCTGCACGGCCTGCACCGTTGCCTCCAGGCTGCTGCTGGGGTACACCACGTAGTGTGTGGCAGTCAACTCCGACCTCTCCCGCTGGTTTTCCTTGCTGTGCCGGATGCCGTAGCCAAAATACACCACGAGTCCTGAAAGGGTGACACAAGCCTGAGGGGCAGGTCCCAGCCCTGCTTCCCTGCTTGCCCTCCCCCTGCAGCGCCCCCCGGGGTCCCAGCCTGGCCCCCACTCACCGATCAGCAGCCAGATGGAGAAGCGCAGCCAGGTCAGGTAGCTCAGCTTCAGCATGAGGACGACGTTGAGGAGGATGCTCAGGGCGGGAGTCAGGGGCGCCATGGGAACCTGAGGAGACAAGGGCTGGGCTGGGCTGGGCTGCAGGGAGGGGCTGCTGGCCCAGGGCCTGATTTCTCTGGAGTCCGCAGAGCCCTTCTCTGCCTCTGGAGATTCCAGAGACAAGGGCCCACCCGCCATGCAGAGAGCAGGGTGTGGGGCACTGGCCTCCCCCACCCTGAGGCCCTGGTGCATCCTGCCATGGCAGAGAAGGAAGGGGCAAAGGGAGCTGGCTGGGCTGAGCGCGGTGGGTGCTGGCTGGAGGAAGTACCTGAAAGGTGTCCTGCCGGTGCTGTTGCTGGTGGGCCCCCAGGACGAGGAGACTGAGCAGAAACGTGGCGGAGCTGAGCAGGAGCAGCAGGGTGTAGCCCCAGGGCGGGAGTTGCAGGGCCGAGTCCCCGAAGACCAGCACGCAGCCCAGGGTGATGGCCGAGGCCACCAGGACACCGAGTGCCCAAGCCACGGCGGCTCCGGGTCTGCACCCACCCAGGAAGCCGAGGTAGGGCCTCAGGGCTGGTCGCAGCTGCCCAGGCTCAGGGGCTGAGGCTGGCTCTGTGCCCACCAGTTGTATGTGGTCTGAGAAGGAGTTGTACTCCTTGGCCATGGGGCCAGGGCTGGCTGGGCCCAGGGAACTGGCTGGAGGGGCCTTTTGGAAGCGTAGCACAATAATGCTCGTGGCCACGAAGGTGTAGGCCATCAGTGTGCCGATGGACAGGAACTGGACCAGTGCCTCAAGGTCCAGCAGCAGCACCAGGAAAGCCATGAGGGCCCCAAACACCAGGATGCCCACCACAGGCACCTGGGTCCGGGGGTGCACATGGGCAAACACGTGGAAGAAGAGCCCGTCGACGGCCATGGCATAGATGATGCGAGGCAGGGAAAAGAGGGCGGTGAGCAGGACAGTGTTCATGGCTGTGACAGAGTGTGGGAGAGAGGTCGGCGTGGTGGGCAGGCCCACCAAGGGCTGCTGCTGGGGGCCAGGGCATGGGTGGCCCCTTGGGAACATGGGCATGAGTTTTCTGGGCTCTGAGAGTGAGCCTGAGTGTATGTGGGTGCTGGATTGTTCCCCCTCACCACCCAGGAATGGGACACCCCAGTTGAGGTGACAGGCCCACTGAAGAATCTGATGGGGGCTGAGTCCCTCTGCCTGGCAGGATCTGGAAGTGCATGCCCAGAACTGACATTCTATGTACAACTGGGAGGGGCGGTGAGGAGGTCCCTCCCAACAAGCCCGGGTGGAGAGTTTAATCATTAGCACCTTCCTGGGCCCAGGATGCAACTGGGAGCACAGGCCCAGATGGAGATATGCTCCCTGGAGGCTTAGGGCAGGGCCCCACCACCCTGTTCCCTCCCTCATTGTCCAGAAGGGCCCCTTACCGCAGATGGAGCCAGCCGCCACGATGAAGCCCGCCCAGCTATAGCCTCGCTGGTAGAAGGCATCAGCGAGTGCTGAGTTAGGGTCCAGGCTGTGCCAGGGCACCATGAGGGTGAGCACAGTGGAGACGAGGATATAAGCACCAGCCGCCAGGCCAAGTGAGATGGCGATGGCCATAGGCACTGCTCGCTTCGGGTTCCGGGCCTCCTCGCTGGAGGCAGCAATGACATCAAAGCCCACAAAGGCGTAGAAGCAGGTGGCAGTGCCAGTCATGATGCCAGAGAAGCCAAAGGGTGCAAAGCCACCCTCCTCAGCACTCCAGTTGTGTGGGCGGGCCAGGACAAACCCCAGGATGATGATGAAGAGGATGATGGCCAGGCTGATGGCAGAGAAGGTGCGGTTGACCCAGGAAGAGATGCGGGCTCCGCAGGAGATGAATGTGGAGGCCAAAAGTACAATGCCAGCAGCCAAGAAGTCCGGGTACCGGGCCAGGAAGGGCACCTGCCAGATGCCCACATGGGCCTCAGTGAAGTTGCGGATGCGGTGGCTAAAGATGGAGTCCAGGTAGCTGCTCCAGGCGCGGGCCGTGGCAGCCCCACCAATGAGGTACTCAAGGAGCACATCCCAGCCGATGAGGAAGGCCCACAGCTCACCTATGGACACATAGGTGAACAGGTAGGCAGAGCCAGTGCGGGGCACACGTGCCCCAAACTCTGCATAGCACAGGGCTGCAAGCAGGGAGGCCACGGCGGCCACACCGAAAGACATGAGCACCGCAGGGCCAGCCATCTCCTTGGCTACAGTGCCTGTGAGCACATAGAGGCCTGAGCCCACCATGCAACCCACACCCAGTAGGGTCAGGTCCAGCGTGGTCAAGCAGCGCCGCAGCGATGTCTCCATGGTGTACTCCAGTGGCTTCAGCCGGTTCAGCTTCTGGCAGAAGCATGCCAGGCTGGCAGTGCTGGGCAGCTCCTGGGCCATGGTGGGTGGCTGAGACAAGCACCAAGCCAGCTGCCGGCACCTACGAGAGCCAGAGAGGAGTGATAGGCTGCCCTGGGTCCTGACCAGCCTTCAATCCTTGCTCTGACCCTGCCCTGGGGACCCAAGCCTGGAACCACTGGCAGCTGGAGGGCTGGATGAGGCAGGCTCAGGGCCTGCCAGCAGGGTGGGCAGGAGGCCACAGGGAAGCATGGGGATCCCTTCGGCCTGCCTCCTGGGCAAGGAACTGGATGATTGGGAGGGGCTCTGAGAGTGGGTAGGGGGCAGCCCCAGGGAGCCCGGCTAGGAACCGCTCCAGTGGTCTGGGATCCCAGAGCAGGGTGGAAACCCGAGGATTCCCGGGAGCTGGGCCAGGTCTCCAGGACCCGGAACAGGAGCGACTCTGTGGCCCTGGCAGCAGCCCAGGCAGCCACCGGACCTCAGACAGAGGCGTTCATCCCCCCAACCCCCGCCTCGTCGGGCTGGTGTATCAGCGCACCCTGCTCTGAGCCTCAAGCCAAAGCCTCGCGCTCCGCCCCCGCGCCCCCACACGCTGCCGCCGCTGCGCTAGCCACTTCTGCCGCGTCCCTGTCCCCAGGTACCTGAGCCTTCGCCTCCTCTCTGGCCTGAGTCCGTCCCCACAGGACTTACTGTGACTCACCTGCTGTCACCGCCTCCTCCTCTCTGCGTGCTGCGCCCGCCCCGCCCGCGCCGCCTGTGCGCAAGGCCCGCCCCATCCCGGGCTCCAGATCCAGCGCTGGGCCCTGCCTCGTGGTCCCACGCGTACTCAGACCACGCTACCCACTCCTCACACGGTCAGGACCAGCGCTCCCCAGGTTCTAGGTAAGCCCTGTGACTGTGCCCGGTTCACAGATGAGGAAGCCCAGGTAACTGACTAGCCCAGGTCACCAAGGTGGCCTTGGGAGGCCAGTGGAGGCTAAGGTCCAGGTCTGGGTGGGGTCTGGAGCCACTGCTGCAGACACCCGCCTTGATCTCTCATCCCAACACACTGACTCCACCAGCGGGGCACCATCCAGGCCCCTCGACCCTGTGAGGTGTGGGGGCTGCGGGAGTCAGGCAAGACGCTGGTAAGATGAGGGTCTGAATGTGGCTTGGAGGCCCTGGGCAGTCCCTGACCTCTGGCACAATGGGATGGCAGTAAGCCACCCTCACCCACTGACGAGGGAGTGCCCGGCTGTGGGGAGGGTTCTGTGAATTGGCAGAACTCGTGCTGGCTGTTCTGTTCTGAGCTTCCAGCTACAGACAGTGTCCTGAAAGGAGGCAAGCAGACCCCTGGGGACCACCTCCAGCCCTCCAACTTGGGGCACCCCTAGGGCCCCTCAGACCCCAATGGCAGCCCCTCCCAGCCCAGGAGCACCTGTCAAGCTTGGAGGACCCTGGGGGACCCTAACAGCAGCTCTCACTTGTGGATATCCGTGAGAGGTGTTGTGGACTGAGCATCTGCTCCATGCCAGTCCCTGCATCATGGGGATCCATCACCTGTCTCATCATGTGACCATCACAAACCCCCTCAGGCTTATTTATTCCTGGGGCTGAGTGGTCTTTGTCCTTCTGCTCTTCCCACTCCTTTGAAAGTGGAAAGGCTGGTGTGACAGGGTGTGAACTTGTTTACAGCAAAATGAGGACCATCCATCCAAGCAAAGCAAAACCAAAACAGTCATCCTCTTCCCCCAGAACTCTCTCCATGTTGTCAGGTTTACATGCAGTTTGTGGAATAGGACGTTAGGGGCACCTGCAGGCTGTCTGGCTCAGTGGCTGGTGACAGTTTGGTGGACTCCCAGGCGAGACGGTGCCACTTAGAACACTCTGCCTGGGGCTGGCCCCGTGGCTGACTGGTTAAGATCATATGCTCCGCTTCGGAGGTCGAGGGTTTCGCTGCTTCGGATCCTGGGCACAAGCATGGCACCACGCATCAGGCCACACTGAGGCGGTGTCTCACATATCCCTTCTGGTATGTGGCTGACGTTGTCTTGAGGAGCTTCTCAGATGGGCTCCCACTTCCTGCAGGGGTGACACCTCCCGCACCTCGCTCCTTGTGGCCTAAACATAACTGAGCAGAGTTCCTTGTTCTGAAACGCCTTCACAGAAACCCAGAAAAATGCATTTCCAACCAAGAGACCTGGGCAGTTGTGTAACAGGAGCTCCCCCAAGGCCTGACCGATGGCCACCTGAGAGCTGGAGTGCAGGGTTTCAGAGCACTGACTTTTTATCCACCCAGAGAGGGGCTCTCACCACACCCCCTTCACAGGGGCCAACATCCAATGGATACTCGTGGCCAAGCATGGTCGACACAGTAAACTGTAAACTTCCAGGGACATGGCTGGGCCAAGTGCTGGACCCCAGCGAGCAAGGCAGTTACACAGAGCAACACATGGAGATGCAGTGAAGAGAAAGCACCAAAAATACAAGGAGAAGAAGAGAGAATGCTTCCTACCTCATCCTACACAGCCAGGAGCACCCTGACGCCAAACCCAACAAAGACATCACAAAGAAAGAAAACTACAGACCAATATCATTTATGAATATAGATGCAGGACTGCTAGACTGAGTATTAGCAAATCGAATCCAGCAACATATAAAAAAGACCAAGCGGGATTTATCCCAGGAATGCAAGATTGATTTAACAAATGAAAGTCAATCAGTGTAATATGCCATACTAATAGAATAAAGGACAAAAACCACATGATGGTCTCAACAGACACAGAAAAAACAGTCCACAAAGCTGGACTAGAAGAGACCGCCCTCAAACTGATGAAGACCATCCGTGAAAATCCCTCGGCTGCTGTGCTCAGTGGTGAGACACTGAAAGCTTTCCCTTTGCTCAGGAACAACATCGGGAGGTCGTCTCTTCACTTGTATCCAACATTTTACTGGGGGCTGCCAGAGTCCCGCCCCGGCTGAGTCCAGGTTCCTGAGGGCTGGATGGCGTCGGCGCAATGAGGGGAAAATAAAGAGGATGTGAGACTTGGGTTGGTGTTAGCAAGTCCAACTTTACTGTGCACAAGTGTCATTTATATATTTTTCAGGATTAGTACAGAAATAGCTCTACAAATATTCTCAGAGAGATAAGGAAGTAAAAAACAAGCACAAGAATATTTATTAGCATTCTATTCTATAGAGCATAAGGTTAGTGGTAGTCTTCTCCACAATTAACTAGTGTTTGTTGTCTCTAAGCTAAAAGAGATAGGTACCTAGACATCTGTTGTAATTCATGGTAAAGTTAAATCAAAGAGAGAAGGTCCAGACCTCCGGACAGGACAGCATTCCGTCTGGTTACATCCTGGGGGAGCCATCCCCCCTACCTCAATCATTTACACCATTAGTGTGGATGGTTAATGGGAACAAAAGGCAACTCCAGGGTATCTTATCCCCAGGGCTATCTGCATTCTCAGCGGGCAGTTAAACATCTTTACATTCCCGCGCCCTTTAGGGGGTGAAAGCATTCCTTTGTCTTTTAGATTGTGGAGCTAACAGTCCCTTAAGCGCACTGCCCGGAGAAGATATCATTTTGTTAGTAAAGTAAAGGGCTGAAAAGCTAAGCTAAACTATATATCTTCAAGAATAAAAAACAGAAATAAGTATAGACATAACCTTGATAAAAAGCATGCATATAATTCAGAAAGTATCAGGGGTGTCGGCCAGCCATTCTTCACTGAGGGGCATCCCTGCACCCCTCGGCCCTTCTACTCATCAATTATTTATTATTTATTGCTTTTAGGAGAAAACCTCTATAACATTTTAGCAGAAAGCAGAAGGTCAAGAATAATATATAGATACTTCTTGATCATCCAATTAACCAGCAAACTGGGAAAGATGATGCATATGTATTTAGACAAAGAACTGGAGGGAGAAGGAAACATTAACCAGATGGAGGCCATAAACCTAATTCGACATCTTATCTGGGCAGGGTTCCTTTCTGCTTGTCTCAAAAAGGGACTATGTGCTCCTCCATTAATTAACTGAAAAATATCTTGAAAGTTACCTGCAGGTGGTCACATTCTCTTACTATGTCTAATTTTCCCAGGAGGTAGTGCCTCCCAAGCAGCCACCCAAAGGAGTGAAAACTGGAGGTTAAGAAAGGAAAAGGAATGAAGGGCAATTAAAAGCAGCACAGGTTTCAGAACTATGTGAGGGGCCGGCCGGTTATTCTTCACCAAGGGGTGACCCTGCACCCCTTGGCGTTAATCGGCTGGACCCTGTCAAACAGCCGATCAAATGATGTAGCCACGGCTCCCGGCAGGGGGCTCTGGTCATGACAATTAGGGGAGAACACGAAATAAAAGGGATCCAGATTGGAAAGGGAGGAGTAAAACTATCTCTGGCCTCAGATGACATGATCTTAAGTAGAGAAAAACCCTAAGGAATCCACACAAAAAATATTAGAATGGATAAACCAGTTCAGCAAAGGCGCAGGATACAAAATCAATATACAAAAACCTACTGTATTTCTCTACACTAACAATGAACAATCTGGAAATGAAATTAAGAGAACAATTCTGCCTGCTTAGAGTCAAAAAGAATAAATTTACGTATAAACATACTTAGAATAAACTTAACAAAATGAATGCAAGACCTGTACACTGAAAACGACTAGACATCTTTGAAAGAAATTAAAGAAGACCTAAATAAGTGGAAAGACATCCCACGTTCATGGACTGGAAAAGTTAATATTGTAAAGATGGCAATACTCCCCAAGCTGGTGTAGAGATTCAGTGCAATCCCTATCAAAATCCCAATTCCCTATTTTGCAGAAATTATCAAGTTGATCCTAAAATTCGTGTGGAGATGAAAGGGACCCAGAAGAGCCAAAACAATTTTGACAAAGAACAAAGTTGGAGGACTTACACTTTCTGATTTCTAACCTGACTGCAAAGCTACAGTAATCATAACAGTCTGTTACTGAAATAATGAGAGATATATAGATCAATGGAATAGAATTGAGAGTCCAAAAATAAGGGCAATTAATTTTTTTTAAATTTATAGCCAGTTGATTTTTTTAAAAAATAGACTTTATTTTTTAGAGAAGTTTTAGGTTCACATCAAAATTGAGCAGAAGGTAGAATTCCCATATACACCCAGCCCCTCCACATGCACAGCTTCCCCACTATCAACATCCCCCACCAGATTAGTACATCTGTTGTAACTGTTGAATCTAAATTGACACATTATTATCAACTACAGTCCACGGTCTACATTAGGGCTCACTCTTGGTATTGTACATTCCCTGGGTTTTGACAAATGTATAATGACGTGTGCACACTATTACAGTAAGCCCTAAAAGTCCTCTGTGCTTCACCTATTCAGCCCTTCCTCCCCAGTAAACACTGGCAACCACTGATCTTTTCACTGCCTCCATAGTTTTGTCTTTCCAGAATGTCATATAGTGGGAATTACACAGTATGTAGCCTTTTGAGATTGGCCTTTTTCACTTAGTAATATGCATTAAGGTTGTCTTATGTCTTTTCCTGGCTTGATAGCCTTTATTTTAGACACTGAGTAATATTTCTTGTCTGGATGGTCCACAGTTTATTTATCCATTCGCCTACTGAAGGACATCCTGGTTGCTGCCAAGTTTTGGTGATTATGAATGAAGCTGCTGTAAACATCCATGTGCAGGATTTTGTGTGGGCACAAGTTTTCAATTCATTTGGGTAAATGCAAGGAGTGTGGTTGTTCAATCGTTTCTTTAGTTTTGTAAAAAACTGCCGAACTGTCTTCCAAAATGGCTGTGCCATATTGCATTCCCAGCAGCAATGAGTGAACATTCCTGTTGCTCCACATCCTCAGCAACATTTGGTGCTCTCAGTGTGTTGGATTATTGCCATTCTATCAGGTGTGTGGTGGTATCACGTTGTTCTTTAAATTTGCAATTCCCTAATGACATATTATGTGGAGCATCTTTTCATAGGCTTATTTGCCAACTGTATGTCTTCTTTCATGAGGTGTCTGTTCAGATCTTTTGCCCATTTTTAATTGGGATCTTGGTTTTCTTATAGTTGATTTTTAAGAGTTCTTTGAACATTTTGGATAACAATCCTTTGTCAGATATGTCTTTACAAATATTTTCTCCTAGTCTGTGCCTTGTCTTCTCATTCTCTTGATGGCCAGTTGATTTTTTTTTTTTAAGAGGTGGCTGATTAGCTTTTCTTTTTTTTTTCTTTTTTTTTTATTGAGTTATTGATAGGTTACAATCTTGTGAAATTTCAGGTGTACATTAATGTTTGTCAGTCATGTTGTAGGTGCACCATTTCACCCTTTGTGCCCACCCCCCACCCCACCTTTCCCCTGGTATCCACTAAACTGTTCTTAGTCCATAATTTTAAATTCCTCATATGAGTGGAGTCATACACAGATTGTCCTTCTCTCGCTGGCTTATTTCACTTAACATAATTCTCTCAAGGTCCATCCATGTTATTGCAAATGGAATGATTTTGTTCTGTTTTGCAGCTGAGTAGTATTCCATTGTATATATGTACCCCATCTTCTTTATCCATTCGTCTGTTGCTGGACACTTCGGTTGCTTCCAAATCTTGGCTATTGTAAACAGTGCTGCAATAAACATTGGGGTGCATAGGACTTTTGGGATTGCTGACTTCAAGCTCTTTGGATATATACCCAGTAGTGGGATGGCTGGATCGTATGGTAGTTCTATTTTTAATTTTTTGAGTAATCTCCATACTGTTTTCCATAGTGGCTGCACCAGTTTGCATTCCCACCAGCAGTGTATGAGGGTTCCTTTTTCTCTGCAACCTCTCCAACATTCGTTGCTATTAGTTTTAGATATTTTTTTCATTCTAACGGGTGTAAGGTGATATCTTAGTGTAGTTTTGATTTGTATTTCCCTGATGATCAGCGATGATGAGCATCTTTTCATGTGCCTATTGGCCATCAGTATATCTTCTTTGGAGAAATGTCTGTTCATGTCTCCAGCCCATTTTTTGATTGGGTTGTTTGATGTTTGGTTGTTGAGTCGCGAGAGTTCTTTATATATTATGGAGATTAGCCCTTTGTCGGATATATGACTTGCAAATATTTTTTCCCAATTAGTGGGTTGTTTTTTTGTTTCAATCCTGTTTTCATTTGCCTTGAAGAAGCTCTTTAATCTGAGGAAGTCCCATTTGTTTATTCTTTCTATTGTTTCCCTTCTCTGAGAAGGCATGGTGTCCGAAAAGATCCTTTTAATACTGATGTCAAAGAGTGTACTGCCTACGTTTTCTTCTAGAAGCCTTATGGTTTCAGGTCTCACCTTTAGGTCTTTGATCCATTTTGAGTTTATTTTGGTGAATGGTGAAAAAGAATGGTCAATTTTCATTCTTTTACATGTGGCTTTCCAGTTTTCCCAGCACCATTTGTTGAAAAGACTTTCTTTTCTCCATTGTATGCCCTCAGCTCCTTTGTTGAAGATTAGCTGTCCATAGATGTGTGGTTTTATTTCTGGGCTTTCAATTCTGTACCATTGATCTGTGCACCTGCTTTTGTACCAGTACCATGCTGTTTTGATTACTGTAGCTTTGTAGTATGTTTTGAAGTCAGGGATTGTGATGCCTCCCGTTTTGTTCTTTTTTCTCAGGATTGCTTTAGAAATTCTGGGTCTTTTCTTGCCCCATATGAATTTTAGGATTCTTTGTTCTATTTCTGTAAAGAATGTCATTGGGATTCTGATTGAGATGGTGTTGAATCTGTAGATTGCTTTAGGTATGATGGACATTTTAACTATGTTTATTCTTCCAAACCATGTCCATGGAATGTCTTTCCATCTCCTTATGTCGTCATCCAATTCTCTCAGAAAGGCCTTGTAATTTTCATTATATAGGTCTTTCACTTCCTTAGTTAAATTTACCCCAAGGTATTTTATTCTTTTTGTTGCGATTGTGAATGGTATTGTATTCTTGAGTTCTTTTTCTGTTGGTTCATTACTGGAGTATAGAAATGCTACTGATTTATGCAAATTGATTTTATACCCTGCAACTTTGCTGTAGTTGTTGATTACTTGTAACAGTTTTCCAATGGATTCTTTGTGGTTTTCTATATATAAGATCACGTCCTCTGCAAACAGGGAGAGTTTCACTTCTTCCCTCCCTATTTGGATTCCTTTTATTCCTTTTACTTGCCTGATTGCTCTGGCCAGGACCTCCAGTACTATGTTAAATAAGGGTGGTGATAGAGGGCATCCTTGTCTCGTTCCTGTTTTCAGGGGGATGGCGTTCAGTTTTTGCCCATTGAGTATGATGTTGGCTATGGGTTTGTCGTATATGATGGCCAGTTGATTTTTGACAAGAGAGCTAAAGCAATTCACTGGGGGAGAGAATAACCTTTTGAACACACTGTGCTGCAACAACTGGATCTCCACATGCAAATGAATGAAGTCAGACTCCCACCTCACACCACTTACAAAAATTCATTCAAAATGGATCAAAGATCTAAATCTAAGAGCTGAAACTATACAGGCATACCTTGGAGATGTTGTGGGTTCTGTTCCAGACCACTGCAATAAAGTGAATGTCACAATAAAGTGAGTCAGGTGAATTTTTTGGTTTCCCAGTGTATATAAAAGTTATGTTTACACTACACTGTAGCCTATTTTATGTCTAAAAAAAGAATGTACGTACATTAGACATTTTATGTCTAAAAAGAGAATGTACGTACATTAATTTAAAAATACTTCATTGCTAACAAATGCTAACCATCATCTGAACTTTCAGTGAGTTGTAATCTTTTTGCTGGTGGTGTTGTAATCTTCTTGCCTTGATGGCTGCTGACTGATCAGGGTGATGGTTGCTGAAACTTGGAGCGACTGTGACAATTTCTTCAAATAGCCAACAGTGAAGTTTGTTGCATCAATTGACTCTTCCTTTCACGAATAATTTATCTGTAGCATGTGACACTGTTTGGTAACATTGTACCCACACTAGAACTTCTTTCGAAATTGGAGTCAGTTCTCTCAAACCCTGTGAGTGCTTTGTCAACTAAATTTTTGTAATATTCTGAATTCTTTGTTGTCATTTCAACAATCTTCACAGCATCTTCACTAGTAGATTTCATTTCAAGAAACCACTTTCTTTGCTCATCCATAAGAAGCAGCTCCTGATCTATTAGTTTGATCCTGAGGTTGCAGCAATTCAGTCACATCTTCAGGCTCCACTTCTGATTCCAGTTCTCTTGCTATTCCCACCACATCTGCAGTTTCTTCCTCCACTGAAGTCTTGAGCCCCTCAAAGTCATCCATGAGGCCTGAAATCAACTTCTTCCAAACTCCTGTTAATGTTGGTATTTTGACCTCTTCCCATGAATCATGAATGCTCTTAACGACACGTAGAATGGTTTTTCCTGTCCAGCGGTTTCTCAATTTACTATGCCCAGATCCATCAGAGGAACCACTGTCTATGGCAGCTATAGCCTTACAAAACGTATTTCTTAAATAATAAGACTGGAAAGTCAAAATTACTCCTTGATCCATGATCAAAGTGACTGCCCAGATCCTGCAGAATGGATGTTGTGTTAGCAGGCATGAAAGGCTTGTAACTTCTCCAGGAACTCTTATTTGACCATCCCTATTTCCTGAGACTGAAGGAAAATTTTAAATCAGAATTTCCCTGAAACTCCTAGGAAAAAACTTGCGTTTTTTTCTCTCCATCCTTTGAAGTTGTAAATTTTTCCATTTTTTTAGAATGTAAACACTCCAGGAGATAACAGCCCACAGTCACCTGAGACTCAACCTGGCTCCTCAATCAGCAAAGCCTGAGGTAAAAGAAAAAGAAGGGGGGAAATGTTTTCTTTCAAATGCAGGCTGCTAGAGAGGTTCTCTCCCCAAAAATCTAATTCATCACATCCTTATCTAAAAAGATAAATCTTAAAAGTCTTCTCCACAAATATTAACAACAACAAAAACTTTTAAGCAGGTACACTTAACTTGTTCCATCTGCTAGAGAGACAATTATTAATAAAGTAGGGAGTTTTGTATTCTACCTGATTCATGGCTGAAAATTTTTTTTTTGAGGAAGATTAGCCCTGAGCTAACTGCTGCCAATCCTCCTCTTTTTGCTGAGGAAGGCAGGCCCTGAGCTAACATCCGTGCCCATCTTCCTCTACTTTATATGTGGGATGCCTACCACAGCGTGGCTTTCCAAGTGGTGCCCTGTCTGCACCCAGGATCTGAACCAGCGAACCCCAGGCTGCCAACGCAGAACGTGCACACTTTGCTGCACCTCTGGGCCGGCCCCTGAAAATTTTTAAATCAAAGCTATAAGATCTGTCTGTGTCAGCCTATATATATGTATGTACATTATATATGAGTGATATTTTTCTACCTCGAGATGGTATTAACAAAATTATTTTCTAAAGAGTTCTATTTAATGAACTTAAAGTAAGAGCTTACATATATTACTTCTAAATATAAAAGAAACTAACCCAAATGTTTTTCAAATTAATATGCTATAAAATAATCCTTGTTAATTAAAAGCTTGTTTAAGTTTGTTGGTTTAATTAAAATAGACATGTCTTGGGGCTGGCCCCGTGGCCGAGTGGTTAAGTTCGCGCGCTCCGCTGCAGGCGTCCCAGTGTTTCGTTGGTTCGAATCCTGGGCGCGGACATGGCACTGCTCGTCAGACCACGCTGAGGCGGCGTCCCACATACCACAACTAGAAGAACCCACAACGAGAAATATACAACTATGTACTGGGGGGCTTTGGGGAGAAAAAGGAAAAAATAAAAAATCTTTAAAATAGGCATGTCTTCAGAGTTATCAGCACTGGATATAATGGAAACATACACCTTTTATTCTACCTGGGTTATTAATCAAATACGCTCATGTTATCACTGTTAGAAAATTTGTCAACAAGAAAAGATTAAGTTAAAATGATAGCTAATTGCTTTAACGTCTCATGAAATTTTCATGAATAGTCTAAGTATCATTGTTAAGAACAAATGAATTATATAGACGCTAGTTAAATAAGGAATTTTAAGTGCAAATATTGTTTTATGTATACTTCAAAGTAGCTTCTCCAAATCTTTTGGAACTTGAAATCTTAGAGTTTTGCTAAATGACAATAAGTGATGGAAAATTCATTGAATATCTAGACAAGAAAAAATAGATCTCCAGACAAGATAAAACAGGAATATGTTAATTACTGCACAGGGGGTTTGTTGATGCCAATAATCTACAATCAATCTATAAATCAAAATTGGGGTGAGTTTATTATAAGCCAGATCTGAGGACTATCCCAGGGCCTTCTTTCCCCAAGGAAGGAAGGGCATCAAAGAAGTGGGGTGTACAGAGTGGCTATATTCCATCTTGGAACAAAGAGCATACACCAATCACATATGACAGGAGTGTCCCATTTACAGTTGTCATGAGATTGCTTTGCTGGCACAACAGATCAGTGGTCAGCAGGTCGGTGGTCATAAGATGGGTGGTCACAAGGTGAGTGCAGCAGGTCAGCAATTAATCCTTAGTTTAGGGAGAGATGCTTATCCTTAAAGAAATGCTGATATGGGGGAAGTTACATCCCTATCTTTAAGGGCATCATTCTTGTCTTGGGGACATAGTAAATGCTTAAAGCAGGTGTACAATGCATGTTCAACAGGCCATGTCAGGCCCTTTTGGAAAAACAAGGTGAGGCAGAATTAGTTTCAATCCAAATGGTTCCCTCATATACTCCACTATATCCTATTACTTGTCATTTACTTATCATTTTACCCTTTTTGATCTATAATCTTTTGATAGAAAGCATTGATGATCAAAATATTGTCCCTCGGGACCAGAGTGGTTGCTGTCTGCCCTGGGTCCATCATGTCCCTCAGTGCCAAGCTTTTATCTCATTTGTCCAGTTGTCCACATTGGGGGGAAATAGTTGGATATAGTGGACAAGCATAGAGTTGTATATATTAACAGACAAGCATTTCATAGGTTTTTCAATTAATTTTAGGTTGTTGCACAAACATTGTACATGTGCTTTTCCATGACTCCTCATGCTCACATTGTTTACAATTACAATTGCAATCTGGATCAAAAAAGGAAACCAATACCTGAAGGGGGCCAACCAAACAAATCAAGACTAGCTGTAGGATCGCTTAAGACATTGACCTGCTTTTCCATGTGCTTTAGCAGAGATGACACACTGGAAGATTCATCAGGTATAAAAACACAGCATTCAGTTTGAAGGACTGTACATGTACCACCTTGGGATACAGATAGAATATCTAAGCCCATTCTATTTCGAAGAACAGCCTTTCTCATTAAAGACATTTTAGTATTTAATAAGGCTATTCCTGCTTGACTATCATTAAGGGTTTGTTGAGTAAATTTCGTCAGGGCTTCTATATGTGATATGACATCCTCTAGCCCCAAAGGAGGAACAAATACAGCTGCTCAGTGGCCATACCAGCGGAACACTGAATGAGCCCATCTGGCCCTAAAGAGAGGAAGATTTGCAACAGGTGTTAGCTCAGTGTGAATCTTTCCCTGCATCCAAGGGAAGCTCAGGGTGCAGCGTCCTAGCCATCCAGGCAGTAGCCAAGGTCAGAGATTTGTTCCACATAACCATTGAGTTCCATTAGGAGCCACCCAATAAACGTGTGGCCTTCGAGACCAGTCTGTTGCAAATCAACCACTTTCTTTAAGCATGATAATATTCTGAAAACCTTAAATGGAGCAGTTATAAAGTGGGTATATGGTTTGAGCATTACAAGGGTTTAAATGAGGAGATATAAGGTTGGGAATACGGGCCTGGTCCAGAGTCTTGGGACAGCTGTCTACAACAGAGGCTGTGTTCTTCTCATCCCCATTTGGAGGTATTTGTCTTGGTCACTCAAGTCAGGTGTCAGAAATAGGAGTTGAAATCCACTCAGGCAGAGGAGTCTTTTTTAACGAGAAATGTGAGTCCATGAGTTTCTGCCCTTTAATTCTGCAGCACATGGATTGGTTAAAAGTACCTGGTATGGTTCTTTCCAATAGAGCTGCAGAGAGTCTTTTATTTGATGCCTCTTCAAGTAAATAAATTCTCCAGGGTCTAGTCTATGATCCTTAGGGTCTTCACCTCCTGGGCGCTCTCTGTGAAAGGAGTCAGCTACAACTTTTCATTTCTTTCAAGCACCTCAATGAGACCCTGACAACAATGTAATATATCTCCCTTAAGCAAAGTTGATTTATACATTTCCTCATCTAATTGCATAGGCTGTCCTATTATTATTTCAAAAGGAGACAGCTGATGTTTCCCAAAAGGTGGTCAAACAAGATCAGGTGTTTACTGATCTTGTGTCATGAAACAATGCTCAGTTAGCCATTCAATCAAAGTGACAACAGAAACAGTAAAAAAATCGTAACAGAGAAACCTCAGTTTTTTTGAACATAGGAAATTATTTTAACAAGCACAGATTTTCTGTCTTTTAGGTAGTCTTACTTAAAAATAAAGAAAAACCTTTTATAAGCTCTTTATCGAGAGCAGACTAAGAGTTTAAGAAAATTATACCTTTTAAGAGAAAGAGAAAACCAAATTCTAATTTTTGTACCAGCTTACTTCTGATATTAAAACTTATTCACTTCATTAAATTTATTTTCATTTGAGCCAATTTGACCATGTATAAAACTCTTTCTTCAGGGTTCCTTTGTAACAAACCTTCTATACCTTTCTTTTTACATTCAGAATTTGTCCCATGTCTTTCTTTTCTTCCCACTCTTAGAACTTTGGGACAAATTTATCTTTCTTAACAAAATGAACAAAAACATTTCCATTCTTTATAACTTTTTTGCTGAAAACATACATCTTTCCTTGAATACAAAGATGTTTTCCTTATTGATTTTTAGTAGTTTCCATCATATATATTAATTAGAATTTTTAACCCTTACAGACCTTAATTTTTAATGAAAACTAAGAAGTAAGCAATTATAAACTATCTTTTAGATTAGCATTTTGTGGCTTGGCAAATTTATAAATACCTTTTATAATTTGTAAAAACATGTTGCTTCATAGTACAATCTTTTAATAAAATAGAAGACATATTTACTAATAGACCCAAACATCTTTTGGTTTCTCTGTAATAAGAAGCCAAAAGTAAATAAACTTCAGTATTTTAATAATTAGCATCTAATATTTTATCTTACATGGAAATGACCTAGATACTCAATAAATTTTATTATTTAATTTAATTAGCAAAACTTTAAGGTTTCAAGTTACCAAAAGGTTTTGAAGTTATTTTAAATATACATGCCATAACATAATTATTTTTAAAAGTTCACCCAACACTTTTATCTATTTCACATCTATTTACTCCTTCCTAACAAATATTTAGATTGCCTACAAAACTTCATGAGACATTAGGCAAAATTAGCCATCAGTTTAAGTTATTATTTTTGTTAACCAGTTTTGTAATAGAGATAACATTGGCTTATTTGATCAACAAATTTAGAATAAAGGCTGCATGTCTGCATCATATCCAATGCTTATAACTCTGAGGACATGTCCATTTTAATTAAATCAACAATCTTAAATAAGCTTTCATTTACCAAAGATTAATTTTATCCAGTTAACTTGAAAGACATTTGGGTTAGTTGCATTTAGAAATAACTTATGTAAGTGCTTACATTAGCCAATTAACTAGAGCTCCTAATTTTGGCCATACCATCCGGAGGTAAAATATCACACATATATCACATACATATAGACACACATACACAGAGACTCCACAGCTATTGTTTTAAAATTACTGACATGAATCAGGTCCAGTAATATAAAGCTCCCTAGTTATGAATCCAAATTTTGTTTTCAGCCTCTTTTACTAATATTTGTGGAGAAGACACCCAAGATGCTACATTTTGGGCAAGGGGACGCTTATGGCCATTTTTTTTGGCCTTTTCCCTTTTTTTCCTTTCAGTCTTACGAATTGGTGATGGGCCAGATAACAGTTCCCAGAGAGGTGGGGCCATGATCCTTTCTGAGATGAAGGAGCTGGGTGGAATCTGAACTGCCTCTAGAGCTGCTTTTCCAGTCTTACAGGGTTTGTAAGTTGAGGACAGTTGTTCTACCTGTCCAACCGCATCACCCTAATTTTCTTCCTTCCATCTGGGTATTTAGTTTTATTTTAATTTAGGGAAGAAGGCCTAAAAAAGAATTCCTATCAGGCTCTGAACATCAACTTCCAGTTTGACCAAATTTCTGATGATAAGTTGCTAAATCCTTTCAAATACCTTGTCAGGTTTCAGCTGAGACAAACAGTAACTACCTGGCTGTATTGAACAGTTTCAATAATCTTTAATATAGCAGTTTCCAAGAAAAATCTCTCAGTCTCATTAACTCTAGGGGTAGACTACCAAGATGTCTGTAAAGTCATGGCCTAATATATTCCTTCAGGTACATTTTAAATGTAACTCTTTATTAGCTTTTTGCAACAAAACTTTCAATAAGGTTATTTTGGAATTTTGAAGTCTTTACTTCTTAAGTGCACTTTTTAAATAATCTTATCTAATTGGAACGTTCTTTCTAATGGCCAGTGTAATTCCCCTGAGGCTGGCAGCAGTTTGGTAGAACCCTTAGCCATGGATGGAGTGCAACCTACATTTCTGTCTGAGTATCCCTGACCACAATATGGGGTGAAACTACATTTTGTCTGATCATATTTTGGGACCTCAACCTGATGTTTAGTACGCCAACCTCTCAGAACGTGAAAAAAGCTTGGTAAGATTTTCAATTATCCTGGGTTATCCTGCCAGCCGTTTACAGCTATCTGCATTTCATTAAGCACTTGTAAGTTTCAGCATGAAGCCAGCCAGAGTTCCAAGGAAAGGCTGCTCATGCAGGAACTCGTCAGCCTTTAGAAGATTGAGTTCCCATTTTTCCTTTAGTTTTGTTTTACTATAAAGTCTTAATAATCTCTAGGGACAGTGCTGTGGGTCAGAAGTGTGCTGCTTGTGAATGTCACTCCCCAAAAAGGTCATGAGCACTCTCCTAGGTGTCTTGGCCCCTTGCACCCACCAGCAGTCTAAAACTCCCGTGGGAGCTCAGGGCACTGGACAAACAATTTATTCAGACTTTATGGATACAATTCTTTCCAGTTTAAAGCCAAATTAAAAAGGTCAGCCTGACCCATTCACTCCAAAGTTACCCCAAGGCTCCCCTGGCCTAGGAAATTACCCCTAAGTTTCCCTTACCTAGAAATTCCCCCCTTGGTTCCTCTTACCTAGGGTATGTATGGTACCCCTGTAAGACGCCTAGTCTTAAGGTTTGAAATAGCTCATATAAACTCTAGACCGTCAACTTAAAATAAGGAGGTCCAGGTTTCAGGGAAACTCACCAGGGTCACCTGAAGAATGCAGTGATCCAGGGTCGGGGGGGCAGGTGCTCAGTGGGCCCCTATTGGTACCAAATGCCAGTTCCATGTAGATTCCAGGTGGTCTCTGGTGGGTTTCTCTGAAATCCTGCTGACTATGCCAAGAAATCTTGATGCAAATAATCCATAAACAATCTATAAATCAAAATTGGGGTGAATTTATTATGAGCCAACCCTGAAGACCATATAGCCCAGGAGTGCTCCATTCCTTTGTGAATATACCATATGTTCTTTATCCAGTCCTCAGTCGATGGGCACTTAGGTTGCTTCCACATCTTGGCTATTGTAAATAGTGCTGCAATGAGCATAGGGGTGCAGAAGTCTCTTTGAATTGCTGATTTCAAGTTCTTTGGATAAATACTGAGTAGTGGGATGGCTGGGTCATATGGTATTTCTATTTTTAATTTTTTGAGAAATCGCCATACTGTTACATAGTGGCTGCACCAGTTTGCATTCCCACAGCAGTATATGAGGGTTCCTTTTTCTCCACAATCTCTCCAACATTTGTTATTTTTTGTCTTGGTTAGTTTAGCCATTCTAACTGGTGTAAGCTGATATCTTAGTGTAGTTTTGATTTGTATTTCCCTGATGATCAGTGATGATAAGCATCTTTTCATGTGCCTATTGGTCATCCATATATCTTCTTTGGAGGAATGTCTGTTCATATCCCCTGCCCATTTTTTGATCAGATTTTTTTATTTTTTTGTTGTTGAGTTGTGTGGGTTCTTTCTTTATTATGGAGCTTAACCCTTTGCCAGATATATGACTTGCAAATATTTTTTCCCAGTTGGTGGGTTGTCTTTTCATTTCAATCCTGTTTTCCCTTGCCTTGCAGAAGCTCTTTAGTCCGATGAAGTCCCACTTGTTTATTCTTTCTTTTGTTTGCCTTGTCCAAGAAGACATGGTGTCTGAAAAGATCCTTTTAAGGCTGATGTCAAAGAGTGTACTGCCTATATTTTCTTCTGGAAGTCTTATGGTTTCAGGTCTTACCTTTAAGTCTTTGATCCATTTTGAGTTTATTTTTGTGAATGGTATAAGAAAATAGTCTATTTTCATTCTTTTACATCTAGCTGTCAGGTTTTCCCAACACCATTTGTTGAAGAGACTTTACTTTCTCCATTGTATGTTCTCAGCTCCTTTGCTGAAGGTCAGCTGTCTGTAGATGTGTGGTTTTATTTCTGGGCTTTCAATTCTGTTCCATTGATCTGTGCACCTGTTTTTGTACCAGTACCATGCTGTTTTGATTACTGTAGCTTTGGAGTATGTTTTGAAGTCTGGGATTGTGAAGCCTCCAGCTTTGTTCCTTTTTCTCAGGATAGATTTAGAAATTTGGGGTCTTTTATTGCCCCATATGAATTTTAGGATTCTTTGTTCTATTTCCATGAAGAGTGTCATTGGGATTCTGATTGAGATTGCATTGAATCTGTAGATTGCTGTAGGTAGTATGGACATTTTAAGTATGTTTATTCTTCCAATCCATGTGCATGGAATGTCCTTCCATCTCTTTATATCATCAATTTCTTTCAGGAAAGTCTTGTAGTTTTCATTGTATAGGTCTTTCACCTCCATCGTTAAATTTATTCCAAGATATTTTATTTGTGAATGGGATTGTGTTCTTGAGTTCTCTTTCTGTTAGTTTGTTATTCGAGTATAAAAAGCAACTGATTTCTGTGTGTTGATTTTTGTACCCTGCAACTTTGCTATAATTGTTGACTATTTCTAGTAGCTTTCTGATGGATTTTTTAGGGTTTTCTCTATATAACATCATGTCACCTGCAAACAGCAACAGTTTCACTTCTTCATTGCCTATTTGGATTCCTTTTATTTCTTTTTCTTGTCTAATTGCTCTGGCCCAAACCTCCAGTACTATGTTGAATAAGAGTGGTGAGAGTGGGCACCCTTTTCTTGTTCTTGTTCTCAGAGGCATGGCTTTCCGTTTTTCCCCATTGAGAATGATGTTGGCTGTGGGTTTGTCATATATGGCTTTTATTATGTTGAGGTACTTTCCTTCTAAACAGGAATGGAGATATTTTTGTTAAGAAAGTATATTAGTCCTAAAGTAAAACTGGTTATGGGGAAGAAAGGACAAATTCTGAATGTAAAAAAGAAAGTTTGTGGAAGAGGAACCCTGACAAAAGGTTGTGCATGGTTGAGCTGGCTAAGATTGGAATGAATTTCATTAAGCAAATGAGTTTTAATATCAAAAAGAAGTGGGTGCAAAATGGGAATTTGGTTTTCTCTCTGCTTTTGTTATAAGGACAAGGTTTCCTGGGCTTTTAATCTAGTCTTGATAAACGGATTATGAAAAGTTTTCTTTATCTTTGAGTAATCTGCCTGAAAGGCAGGGATTTTACGTTTTATCAAAATAATTTCCTGTGCTCTTTGTTAAAAGCTGAGTCTATCCTATTACAGAGAGCTAAGGTTTTGCGGCTATATAACCTTCTATATGTGTCTTTGAAATCTTTATGTCACCTTGGTTAGATAGATAATTAAATATTGTTTTGTAATGATTTTTGGTCCTATTTAGGCAAGTATTTTAAGACTTCTTTGATATTTTTGACAAACTTCCCAAAATCAGATTCTAAATGAAGTCTTTTTTTGACCTCTAGGTAACAGCGGGATTTTTCAGAGGATCGCTAAAACATCTCAAAAGATTGGTTTTCTCTCCTTATAAAAAGAGAGACATTAAGCTAATTAAGCTTATCTGATATGTTAAATTACAGGGGAAGTGTCGTCAAGTAAGAAATAACATTAAGCCTTCTTTATGTTATGTCTTTGTAAGTATGTTATAAGAGTTCAAGAAATTATGTGAAATTCCTGGGAGTCTAACATGTCCTGGGATAAAATGTTGTCTGTCATCAAAATTGAGGTTCACACTAAAAGTCAGGAAAGCTCCTTAGCTGATTTTCAGATAAAGGCAGCAACCACAGAATCTATAAAGATTGGCTTATGTGGATGAAGTTCACTCTGCCTCTGCAAAGAATAGTCCCTCATTGCCAGACTTTTGGCATCCTGATGTCCTTATAACATGGCAACAGTCTGCTCCTAAAGCACAGAAATTAAGGTGGTTGAACAATGGCTGTAAATTCAACAAACAGTCAGGACTATGGAAAACTGAAGATGGCTGCTGGGCTTTTCCCAGCTCCCTGGCAAATCCCATTTTTCAGTTTTTAAATTCCTTCACCCAGTACAGGAGAAACTATTTCTGTCCCCAGAGGCCTCAGAACTCCTCCCTCGGGGTCCTTTGAGCCCCTGAAGCCAGACTTCACTCAGCTGCCACTTCCTATGGCTCATCAATACGTTCTTGTTGTTGTCTGTGGTTTCTGGATGGGTTAAAGCCTTTCCCTTGCTACAAAGCTGATGCCCTCACAATGGCAGAGAAACTGCTAGAACACATGCTTCCCACTTGAGATGTACCTTCCACGATCTCCAGGCACCCGCTTCAATGGGCAAATCATACGACCCTTAACAAAAACTTTCCAAACTCTTGGGATTATCACTGTCCCTGTCACCCTCAATAATCAGGCAAAGTCAAGAAAACTAATGAAAAACTAGATTCAAGCTGAAGAAATATTAAATTACATAGAACTACATGAGGTGAGAAAGATGCTCTAATGTTTTGTTTTTCCAGATTTAAAGAAATCATTTCTCTTAATCTATTGACAATTTGGTAACACCTACCTTTGTAAAGAAAGGTGAAACATTGACTTTTTCTCCCTACCTGATCCCTCCAGAATTCAGAAAGTCTCAGCAAGTGTTCTTATTTCACTTGTATAAATGATCAGGCCAACTTTTTAATATAAGTAAATTAGTTTTACTGTGATTATCTTTGGCAAAAAAAAAAAAAAATTGAGGCTAATTGTAGAGAGAAAAATTCTGTTTGCACCTTTGTAGACATTAGATTCTAGTCCTGTTAATTGTCTCTGAGGTTTGTTACACACTGTGGACTGGACTGCCCTGGCCTAAGGTATTGCCTTCGGCCTTGCTGGCTGTTGGCAGTGCCCTCTTTGGAAAACATAGACTAACTCCACATGGGACAGTCACCAGCAGATCAGTGTCTGTTGGTCCACAACCTTCTGCTGCTCCCCTGTTGTCTTATGTGAGTGTGACCAGCTCCTGTGAGTCTCTACTGTCTTATCCCCAGCCCATTACCAACAGGTTAAAGACACTTTCCTGGATCCCACTTTAAAGGGTCCTGTTGGACACACTTTACAGCCTGGTGACTGGGTATTCTGGAAGCATCAGAGGAGGAGGCCAGCCCTCGAGCGCCACTGGGAAGGACCTCACCAAGTGCCCCTGACCACTGACACTGCTACCGAACTAGAAGAAATTGCCCCCTTTAGGTTACACCTTTGTGTGTGATTACCACCATGGGCTTATGAAATCTAGACAGTTGGCATATGGCAGGACAATGCCTTTCAGGATGCCATAATTTTCAATTTCAAGTTTTTGTTAAAGAAGAAACCCAATTGCAGTCTCATAGGTCTAGGCAAGACTTCAAGACCCCCTTTTTACACCTCGTCTTCCTCTCCACTGATTATCATTGACAAAGGCTTTGCCCCTTTGACTGATGTTGTCCATGATGAGCTGCTGATTAAAAAATGTATCCCTAACCATAGCCACACTGGCAAATTCTACCGCTCAAGCCCTAGCTCAACAACAATGATCCGTGGATTCCCTAGCAAGGGTCATATTAGATAATCAAACAGCACCCCATTATCTCCTTGCAGGACAGAGTAGCATCTGTGTCACAGCCAACACCTCCCGCTGTACCTGCATCAACTTTTCCAGTGAAGTTGAGTTATAAATTGGAAAAAAATCACAAAAATAGCACAGGATTTCTGTAGTCCAATGTCTTTTAGTAACACTTTTTGGTTCCCTATTAGTGTTTTCAGCTGCTTCCTTCAGGTAAAGGTGCTTGGATAACACCAGGACTTCAACTATTGTTTATGATTATTACTGGAAATGTGCTATATGCACTCGTATTTAAGCTTCTTGTGCTGCTACTCACTCAGATCTGCTCCAGAACTTCTACAAACACCAAGATCATGGTCACTCAACATGTTGAACTGATAGATAAGTTATTCATCTGAAACTTCAGGTAATCAGATGAAATTCCCAGGCAGGGAAACTCCCTAAGTGTTGTTTCTTTTTTATTTATTTATTTAGTTTTATTTTTTAAAGATTGGCACCTGAGCTAACAACTGTTGTGAATCTTCTTTCCCCCGCACCCCACCCCCCCGCTTTTTCTTCCCAAATCCCCCTAGTACATGGTTGCATATTTTAGTTGCGGGTCCTTCTAGTTGTGGTATGTGGGATGCCGCCTCAGCGTGGCCTGATAAGTGGTGCCATGTCTGTGCCCAGGATCCGAACCACTGAAACCCTGGGCCACCGAAGTGGAGTGTGCAAACTTAACCACTCGGCCACGGGGCCAACCCCCTAAGTGTCCTTTCTTGACTGCCTCATTGTTGCTCAAATGTGGCCTAACCCCTATGACACAGAGTCCTTAAAATAACCACTGGGGGAAAAAAATTCTCCCAGATGTGGGAAACGACTTTCGGGGACAGGTCAATCCCAGCAATGTGGGACTAAACAAATCTTGGTTGATCAGTGATGCTTTCAGAGAAAGATCTTGATCAAAAGGGGAAAAACATGAAATGTGACATAAAACAGAGTCACTTATGTCTAAGGGCTTTAAAATGGAGCTGGGAAGCCATGAAGGAAATGCGTCTCATGCATGTCCTCATCCAGCAGAACATGAACTTCTGAACTGAGTAACGCTGCAAGAAACCTGCAGCCCCTCACAGTGTTTGACTTTTGCCCCCCTCTAGCTGGACTTAGCAATCATTATTTTAGCCAAGATTAGCTTTCTGCCACCAATCCCAATTAACATTCTCAGTAATGCAACCCTCCCTTCTGTGCCTTTAAAAGCCCCTGACTTTTATGCCCTATTGGAACACTACTTGGGTTTCTACCTCAATCTGTTCTCCCTGAATTGCAATTCTTTGATCCCAAAATAAATGCCTCTCTGTCTCTCATTTTGGCTGTTTATTTTTAGGTTAACAGAGTCAAGGCATTACTCCCCCCCACACACACACCACTCCTCTTAATCATTGAGTCCACATGCCACATGTGAGCCAGATGTCCCTATGTCCTGCCTCCTGGAGTTCCCCTTTGTGTTAGTATCCAAATCAGATTGCTCAAATCAGCTCATTCATTTCAGGCAGTCCAGGCTTCCCCAGTTTCTGAGGGCTTTTTTCTTTTGGGGAGTGGGATGGGGCAAAAGAAGTCTTACATTTCTCCCAAGTCAGTCCTCCTTGCTATCTTTTCCTCCACTTTTGTCTGTCTCTCTGTCCCCATGCTGTCCCCTCCCCGAGTCTGCTATTCTCCCCAGAGCCAAATTCAGCCCAAACTCCAGCATTCAAAGCCCACCAGCATGCTTCCCCATATTAGCTCTCCACAGTCATCCTCACTACACCTCACCATGAACTGGTTTCCCAGCCCTTCCTTCTTCTTGTCCTCCAGCCCTGGCAATGGCAGTCACCACTGTCCCCACCTGCTCCAGCCCTGACCAGAGGTGCACCCTCCTCCAATTCCTGTAGCCTCTCTGCCCGAGGCTGACCGGCTCCTTGTATCCACCACATTGGGCCTCCCTGGGAGAGTCCCGTGTCTGGTTCTCCAAACATCACTCCCTGGAAGCCCCAGCTAGCGGCCTGACCCTTCTGACCCCTAGACCCCACTCTGAAATCTGCCAGAGCAAGGGGCGCTGAAGAGTTGGTCCCACTGGATCCATGGGGAGCTGGGGTTGTGTGTGTGTGTGTGGGTTGTGTTGCTGAAAGCCAGCCCATTTGAACTGCCACTGAGAACATTACCCCATGCACCCATTGGCCTAGCTGTGTAGGCAGGGTAAGAAATCCACATTTTGCATCTTTTTTCTAATTTTTACTTTATATTTATTAATATATTGATATATAATTTATATTTTAAATTATTATACATAACATATTTATGTATTTATATTCTCTGTATTTAACTCCTTTTTGGGGCTGCCTGCTCTACGAAAATTCCAGCCCATTCAGGTCGTGCTTAGAAGAGCCACGAGAGGGGCTCTTTCCCCTGTAGGGTAAACACACACTCTCCCATGGACCAGCAGCAGGAGTGGGGGAATTCTGGGGGTGGTAAACTGAGGGCATCAGTCACCCTTCCAGACCTTGGAAATTATGTTCTTTCACCAAGGTGTGGGGTGTGGGTAATTCTTTGGCCTCCTGCAATGACCCCGTGGGGGGGTCTCCTGCCCCCATCCTCCCCGGATGCCATATGCCCCCTCTAGTGGGCCAGTCCGACCCGCACCTGCTGCCTGCTGGCCTCCGCCCACCCAGGTGAGCCAAACCCTTTGTCCTTCCGTCGTCACGACAGCCCAGCCCAGAGCCGCCAGTGTCACCGTCTCCACCACAGTCCACGCGCCACGCTGATTCCCACAACTCTCCCAAGCCCGCCCTGCCCTCGTGCTGCTTGGAAACCTCGCGATACTTTCTTTAAGACCCGCTCCCGCGTCCCAAGTCTCCCGGAAGGCGGAAGTACCCCTCTCTCCCCCCTCGACCTTCCCAGCCACTTCCTCCCAGGACCCAGCACTGGTCCGCCCCGGGTGCGCTTGCAGGAGTCCGGTGACACGTCTGCCCCTGACAGGCCTAGGCTTGGAGCTTTGTCCCAGCCCAGGACGCCGGCCACGGCGGTGAGAGGGGCGCTGACAGCCCTCCCCGGTGGCTGCGCTGCCGGCTGCAGAGCCTCTCACAGGCCCGGCCCTATCCCTCCTGGCCTGTGCTGCTCACGGGGAGCCCGCCTTTCACGGACGGACGGGGCTCAGGCGCCGAGAGCTGGCAGCGCGGCCTCCCCATCAGGGCTCCCCCAGCCCAGCCACCACCAGCCCCGCAGCTTCCCGCCGGCACGGCACCACACGTTCAACTTCCCACCCAAAGGGAAGACCAATCAAAAGAGCAACTTCGCTGCTCAGGAAAATGGCCAGTGGCGATTGGGGACCCTGTCTAGGGCCCGCCCCCCAAAGCGATCAGAGCCAATGGCCGTAGGACGGGCGGCAAGCCAATCAGGCTGCGGCGGGCTGCAGTCGGGGGCGTGGCGTTGGACCTGTAGCGGGTAGGAGTGCGCGTGCGGCCAGCAAGGGTCGCCCTGGCTCGGGGGCGGCTGGGCTCCAGGGCCTTGTCCCTGACCGGCAGCCCCGGGACCGGGTGCCAGCCAAGGCCGTGTCCCCACAGCTTGTGGGTCGGGGGTGGGCACCGGGCACACTGCGCGGGTGCAGTCGCCCTCTGCCCTCACCCTTCCAGACTCTTCCTTCGGAAGCAGCACCGAGTGTTGCGCCCGAGCTCTCTTCTGCACGTCTCTGCTGTGTTGGGAGCTCACGAGGGCGCTTAAACAATGGGCAGTATTTACAAGGTCTTGTAATAAGAACGATAGAAACCGGCATATGCGGAAAAATCTTGCTTCCCCCATTAGATAGGGGTTTTTTTTTTTCCTGGTTGTTTATACTTATAATTTTTTTTAAAGCAAAACCAAGCAAACAGGAATAGATGTGCTGACATCCCCTCTTTCTTGCACCAAAGGTAGCACCCAGTATGCACTCTTGTGCCTGTAGTTTCGTTGTACGGAAACTCCGGCTCCCTCCGTGTCAGCTCCAAGGATCTGCACAGTCGTTTGCCCCGCACGGTGTCCAGAGCGTGGCTGTGGGTCAGTCGGCCTGTTCTGTGTCACGGAGTCTCGGGTGTTTCCAGCCTTGACCCAGAACGCTGCCGTGAGCGTCCGCACGTGTGCTCCTTCCTGCCGTGTGGGTGTGCAGGGGCTGCCAGGGGCGGAGGACTGGGAGTCTGTAGACATGGGCAGATCCCCTTCCGTCGGCGACATGTGAGGATTCCTGTTTTCCCACACAGGGTGGGCTTCTGCCTTTAGCTTGTTCATTTTTGTATCCTCAGCTCACAGGTATCTCCTGGGTAATTGTTGGATTAATATGTTAATAGTTTACATGTCGGTGGAACCCAACCATCACTTCTGTCATCCTGCGCTTCTAGAACAAGCAGTGCCCAGAGGCAGCCTGATGTGGAGAGAGGCAAGAATGACCCTGGAACCAAACTTCACATGGTCCAGTTCAAATTTCACATGTTCCCGGGGAGCTGAGGCTGACGGGCAATCATCTCAGCCTCAGTTTCCCCTCCTGACCATTGTGGTAGAGTCCAAACTTTATAAAAAGTATGTAATTATACAATAACTCACACTAGCCTCTGCATTCTCCTTTTGTAGAAGTTGGTTTTGAGGCTTCTGTTATTGGTCATTGCACAGCATGAAATCAAGCTGCTCACAAAAATGTTTTATAGAGGTGAAGTATTCCAAGTGTAAAGGAAAAGTATCTTCTGTTACCTGACAGGTAAAAGAAGGCTTCTGGATTAGAAGAAATTTGTGCATTTCATCATTTTTAGGAGCTGTTATTTTTACTAAAGTCTTTGTCTTAAAAAGAAAAATACCGTGATTAATACTTTCAGAAGAGCTATTCAGCCATTGTTTGTTGGTATAATAGTCTTCTCAAGTTGAAATGCCTAAATGTGATTTTAAGAGTTCATAGTACTTGGTTAAACCAACTAAACTAAGCAACTTCAGGTGAGGGGGAGGTGGTGATGAGTTGGTGTTAATTTAACCTAGAAGAACTTACACTGACCTTCTCTGAGACAGTGTTATTCCAGGTACTTTCCCTTTGTTAGAAGGGTTTGTGCCTCAAGATGAATTTAATGGAAATCCCAGCCGTAGAAATTTTGATTAAAGTCCTACTTTATGCATCGCAAAGCCTCATCACAAAGTTTAGTACCTTCTAGAGAATTTATCCCTGCCTCGAAGGGTGATTTTTTTCTGGCTCACTATTGCAATTTGGGCAGAAGCAGAGTTATCCTATTAGCTGTGAATTAGCCCCTTGTCTTTCACTTACTATAGAGGAGCCCAGAAGCAGAATTTCTAGGCTTCTAGACCATCACTCTTATGAGCTGGGAGATTACAATGCTGGGTTAGGAAATCAGAAACAACTTGAACTGTGATGTGGTCATGATTATATGATGGGAAAATAATACCCACGCTTAAAATGGTCTGGGTCCTGATGTGGCCATTTTGACTGCCTATTTCATTTCTTCTGTTCTCTCTCCTTGGGTGAGCTCCAGTAGTAAGTGTAAGGT